TATCATATCATATTTAAATAAAGTTGAGCGGTTCCAAGCCATCAAGTGGTTCCAGGGCAGAAAGCCCTGCTGCCTTCCTCCCACAAAGCCAAGGAAATCTTATGCTTCGGTTCTACCCTACAGCACCTGGGGTCTCTGAGAGTCAGAACCCACTCCACAGCAGTAGGTATGGGCTAGTTCATTTATTTTTTTTAAATCTCTACATCTAAAAGCTTCTAGAACATGAAGTGAGGAGGAGAAAACTCTGGACATTTTCTGGAACCCCTGCTTGGAGTGGAATATCCCAGCATGCCTCGCTCCCTGGGTCTTAGAGGTTCCTCTGCTCCTTGAACCTAAAGTGAGACCTCAAGTTCTTTGCCTCGTGGCTCCACTAGGCTGTTTTCTTTAGCCATCAACAGCACTCACAGGCACAGTCCTGGACCCTGACCTCGCTGTAGCTGCTAGGATGGGAGGACACGCTGGGCATTCCTCGTTTATCACATGGGTTCTTCCCACAGGAGCTGGTTGTCTGTTAGTGTGGCAAAGCCTAGCCATGGTGAGTAATTCATTAAAGTAATTCTTGCCAGACAGGGAGAGTCCATTCCAGCTCAGGGTCACGGTGCATCTACCACACCCTTTCTCCTTGGAAACCATGCTTTTGCTGGCAAAGCACAGCATCAGGCTTCCAAACCCTCTGGCAGGGAGACATTGATGACGATCAGAGGGGGTGTAGTGGACAGGCAGAGAAGCGGCTCTGGAAGCAGGCAGTCCTGCTGGACTCAAACCCCAGGCCCTTCATTTATTAACTGTGAATTCAGGGAAGATCTTAGCCTCTCTGAACCACAAGGACCTACCTGAAATGAGAATGAAATAACTTCCCAGGGGTGTGGTGGGACTCAGGACAAAGTGCAAGAAGCCTCAAGAGGGGCACCTCATTCCACAGACAAGACAAAGACGCTTGTCTCATCTTTTGCTTACCTATTAAAACAAGGAAACCCTATGAACCTGGAGAGAGGATTAAAGGCACCCAAGCATCGAGGTCGAGGACTGTCCTTCATAGGGTCGCTATGAGTTGCCTGCGACTCGACGGCACTTAACAACAACAACATTAAAACAAGGAAAGTTTTAAAACATCTTCCCCTATTAAAACAACTTCATACCACAACAAGATAAAGGTAAACAATCCAATTGAAAAATGGGCACAGGATATGAACAGACATTCACCAAAGAAGACATTCAGATGGCCAACAAACAAATGAAGAAATGTTCAAAATTCCTAGCTCTAAGAGAGATGCAAATAAAAACAACAATGAGATATCATCTCACCCCAGTCAGAATAGCAAAATTTAACAGAAAAGCAAACAACAAATGTTGGTGAGGTTGTGGAGAAACTGGAACCCTTATTCACTGTTGGAAGAAGTGTAAAATGGTGCAACCACCATGGAAGGCAGTATGGCCCTTTCTCAAAAAGTTGCAAATAGAGATACCATTTGACCCAGCAATTCCATTGCTGGGAATATTCCCCAAAGAAACCATAACCACCACCCAAGCAGATATATGCACACCCATGTTTATTGCAGCTTTGTTCACAATAGCAAAGAATTGGAAACAACCTAAGTGCCCATCAACATGGGTAGAGAAGCTGTGGTATATTCCCACAATGGAATTCTACACTGCATTGAAAAACAAGGAACTCATGCAATATTATGTAAAATGGGTGACCCTGGAGGACATTATGCTGAGAGAAGTATCTCAGTCACAAAAGAACTTATACTGCATAGTGCCACTGTTTTAAATTGGGACTGACATTGGAGTTGGGGGGAGACTGATAAAGATGGGATAAATAACGTATACTTCATTGAAACAGATGAGGTTGAGAACTGTTTAAAAGGGATATATGATTAGGTATTATTTTCATGACAGGAGTCCAGAACGAAGGCTGCATAGTGGAGTGGACTTGGGGTGAAGGATTGTATAACAATGAAATAATTTTTCTTTTACTTTTCAAATAAAAGAATGAACTGGGGGAGAGGGTTGGGCAGGGAGAAAAGTGCAACAATGAATGAATGGAAATCCAAAGTCTCTGTAAATTTTCATTAAAATTAATAGTAATAAAAAAAAAGAAAGAGAAAAAAAAAACCCAACTTCAGCATCACCTTGGCAAGGTCCTGCTCCTGTATCTGGACTCGGTGACCTCAGCACTAGTCCAGTGGCTCCACTTTCTCTTCTGGGCATGAGCAGCAGGTGTTCCACTTTTTAGAAGAGTTACTCTTACGGATAAGTTCTCTCTTCCCCCAGCAAAGAGGAACGGGGCGTAGTGTAAAGAAGAGACGTTGGACAGATCCGCATTCCAGTTCTATCTGTGTGGTCTTGGATTAACTGCTTGACTTCTTTTCCATTTGTGTTTCTTCAAAGTACCCAAAGACTTCTTCCTAGCTGACCTTGAAGGTCTGTTATGAGGTTAAGATCACAGAATGGATGTGAGGACACATTGTTAGGAGCCCAGGGCACGATGTGAGAGTGAATGCCCAGTGGGGTAAGTGAGGGAGCCTTCGTGGGAGGTCAGCTAGTGAGTGACAAAGTAAATGACAGATTCTGCCGATGGCCTCTGTGGCTTCCCAGGAAAAACCTGTGCTTCCTGCAGCCCCTGCCCAGCATCCTTCAGCCTCATGGTATCAATCTCTTAAATGTTTCTTGAGCATCTGCTCTGTGCTGAGTCCCGTGCTGGGTGTAGGGACAGAGAGGACCATGGTGCTCCGCCCTGTGGGAAGTCTCTACTGCAAATGTGGCCCCACATTGTGAAGGGGGAGGGTTAAAGGACGCTGGTGAGGAGGAGGCCCTGGAGCCAGCCTTGAAGGAGGCAGGAGACAGGAAGGAGGACAGGAAGGTCAGGCAGAGGGAGCAGCTTGAGCGGATGATTAGAGGTAGGTGTCTTTCAGGAGGAGAGGTGAGATGTTGGGTGGTGGAGTCTAGAGGTGGCAAGAGACGGGACGAGCAAGGGAACGATGCTGGCCTTCACTGAGCGCTATGGAAGGGAGCACTTTGTCCTTCTGATGGACAAGGAGTGAGCATCACTTAGAGACCCTGATAAGCCTAATGTATTGGGCTGCTAACTGAAAGGTCCTTGGTTTGAATCCTCCAGCGCTCTGAGTGAGAAGGATGAGCAATCTCCTACAAAGATTTACAGCTTCCAAGCAACAGAGGGTTGCTGTAGGCTGGAAGGGATTCCCTGCATTGGATTTTCGGGTCTTTGGTAGCCATCCTCATTGGTGTGACGTCCCTGGGTGGCACGAATGGTTAACAAGCTCTGCTGATAATTGAAAGGTGTTAGGTTTGAGTCCACCTGAGGCATCTCAGAAGAAAGGCCTTATCATCTACTGGTGAAAGCCACTGAAAACCCTGTGGAGCGGCGGGCAACCCACATGGAGTCCCCGTGAGTTGGCATTGACTCCAGGACAGCTGTTTCCCAAGGTTGCACCGTCAGAATTCAGACACAGAACAGAGAGTTGTAAAGCTCCATGGACCAACCGGGATGACTGTCTATCAATTCCGCAGGAGGCTGTGTGTGTCACAGGCCGAGAGACGGGGCCTCTCTTGCCTACAGCTTGTCAACACTGGTGCCTCTCAGGCTGCCCTCCACTTCAAACCATCCTCTTCAGTTCTCCCCTCAGTGTAGGTCCACAGTGTGTTGGGGACAGTCTATATCTCAAGGTGACCTCACCTTCCTGTGTGATCTACTGAGCATAGACTTAGAGGACCACCTTCATTTCCAAGTTCATCCAGTGTAGCCACCTATGGTGATCAGAAAAATGCCTCTTCCCCCCTGCCCCGCCACCTGAGTCTCATACAACAATCCGCTCCCTCTCTCCCAACAGGGGGTTTGAACGCCAGGCTCTTGAGACTTTGAGAGTTTTGTCTTTGGTTTAAGGCTACCCGTTCCTTCTATGTTGCCCAGGAGATGAAGGGCCACGTCCTTCAAACCCAAGCCGCCGCCTCCTGGCCATCCTCCCGGTTGTCTGTGCCCCGTCAACAGTAAGCTGAGAAGTCCCCCCCATAAATAATAAACGGAATGGTCGCTTTGACTCACCTAAAGGGTGCCGTGGTGGGTTCTGAGTCTTCATGAGCGAGCAGGAACATGGGTCTCTTCCAGCCAGAGAACATCTGGAGTCAGTGGGCTGAGAGTGTGGCCCCCTGGACTGATGAGAGGAGAAAAGGTGGTTAGGGCGGGGCATTGACGTGGACCCTCCGCTCTGCGCTCTGCGGCTCTGCGCTCTGCAAGGGGCGTGGGGGAGTGATCTGCCCTGAGCTGTTCCCTTGTTAGACGACACTGAGTTGATTCTGACGTAGGCCACCACCTCCTTGTGTACCACGCTTTAGGGCTTATAAGGTTGGAACCTCTCAGAAGCCAGTCACAGGCTTTCACAAATGCCTTAAGTGATTCCAAATGAGGACTTTTTTTCCCTTTTTTAAAGAAATACCTTGTAGTTTGGGTAAAAGTTTACCGAGGAAATTCGTTTTCCATTCAACAATACACCTTTTTGTCTTGTGATATTGCTGCAATCTTGTCAATGGAACAGTACCTTCCCTTTTCCTCTCAGGGGGCCCTGTGAGCACTGGTCCTTTCTTTCAGACCCCTCCAGCATTCTGAGCGTTGTTTTTGGGCAAGTCCTGCCCATTTGGCCTCATATGGTTGGCTGTACTGAGAAGCATGCCTCTCTCTGGTTCACATTGCAGGCCTGGCTCAGAGTTGGTCCCAGGGGTGGGTTCAGTTCCAGATTAAGAGTCACAGTCTCCAAGATCCCACTCGGGCCCAGCAGGCCTGTAAGTCTGATCTTTGCCATATTTTTTTTTATTTTTTCCCCTACCTTTTTAATTCCTTCCTATTAAAGATATTTTTTAAATAAAATTTTTATTTTATACTGGTTTACTTACAAAGTTCATATACATTGTTTTTCACATCAGATCTTTCCCATTTCCTTTACCCACACCTCCTCCACCCATCAAACTGTGTGACCCTATGATTAACCACCTGCCAATCCTTACCCCACTGCTGTCCCCCTTGGAGCCTCATCCACCGTTTATTAGGCCAGCTGGCCTGTAAGTCTGATCTTTGCTATGTTTTTTTTTTAAAATTTTGTTCTACATTTTTAACTCCTTTCTATTGAAGCCTTTATATTGTGCTCTAGGCCAGAGTGCTTGGTGTGGGCTGCAGGGCACCATCTCGATCTCTGGTCTCCAGCTCGTGGAAACTCTGCAAATCCCAACCTTTTGGTTAATAGCTGGCCGCTTAATCTTTTGTGCTACCCACGGGCTCACCCACTCCTTTACCAAATGCTATTAAGCCCTGACTATACTGCTTTGCTTGGAAGCAGGAGCGGCATCACTTCCTAAACAACATGCCTCCGGAAACTCTATGAACCTTGATAAATGTCAATAGTTGTAGAGGGGCTTCAGGCCTTTTGTTCATAGGGTCGCTATGAGTCCTGTTCAACTTGAAGACAATCAACAACATATCTCTTTGCAATCCCAAAGGCGCATAGATTGAATCCACCAGGTGCTGCATGGGAGGATGGGTTTTCACCTCTGAAAACCCCCTGGAGGGTCAGCTTTGGCTCGGTTCCAACTTGATGGGCAAAACAACAATAGCAACCACAAGGTACTGTTTAAGGGGGCTCTCGTGGTTTAGTGGTAAGGAGCTGCACTGCCTACCCAAGGGGATGCAGTTCAAGTCCACCAGCTTCTCCACAGGAGAAAGATGGACAATTGCCTACCATGTACTTTGCTGCTTCTGAGAACTTGCAGGAGGGTCAGCTATGAGTTGGCTCTGAATTGATGGCTTATAACAACCACAATAATACACACTGTTTAATGACTGCGGCGTGCCTGACCCAAGCTATGTATTTTAAATTGCTTTGTTGGTTAAGGAAGGACTACAGAAGGACAGGATGCCTCTGAATTGTGTCAGTGAAGAGTGTTGAATATTCGTGGATTATGAAAAGAAACCAATCTGTCTTTGAGAAGTGCATCGAGGGTGCTCGTTTGAGGTGAGGATGGTGGAAGATCACCTCACAGACTTCGGATGTGCTGTCAGATGGGACTAGTCCTCGGAAACAACATGATGTCAGGAAAAGTAGAGGTTCTGCAAAAGAAAGACCCTTCAAAGCTGTAGTGGCACAGTGACCAGCACGGTGGGCTTGAGCACGATGGAGATCGTCAGGCCAGTGTAGAGTAGGACTAGTCTGTTATTCATAGGGTCACTATAACTCAGCAGCACCTCCCAACAACATGCTCTGGGTGTTAGGGCCTTAAAGGTGAGAGTAGCGTGTATCGCCCAGCAGTGCACAAATAGTCACCAAATAACTATAAACTGACCCAAGTGGTGGGAAGGAAGAAGAAAGGTAGTGTGACAGCGTACACATGAAGTCCTGAGCAGTGTGAGGGGTGTGTGTGTGTGTGTGTGTGTGTGTGTGTGTGTGTGTGCGCGCGCGCGCGCGCGCGCGCATGTGTGTTTATGACAAGAATTGAGTGGGAGTAATCGGGATGAAAGGATGGGGAGAGAAGGGTTCTGGGTAGCAGGAACAGCAGGTGCAGAGGCCCTGAGGCAGGAAGGAGCTGGATACCGATGTGTCCTAGGCTGCTGGGGACATGGTGGGAGCAGGGAGAACAGTTAGGAGGCAGTGTGTGAGACTGGACATGGAGGGGTGGGAACAACAGTGAGGAGGGTCACCCTTAATCAGAGTCACCCTTCGGGGCTGCCGTCTACTGAGAAGGGAAGAGAAGGCAAGAGGGAAGTAGTCTAAGCTCTAACTTGATACCTTTGGGGTGCTTTGAGGATTTCTGAGTTGCGGGGGGCAGCCAGCGGGTCCAGAGTGAGCCGGGAGCTCATGGGCTGGAGAACAGATTTGGTTCTGTGTAATTAGGTCTTGAGGGGCTTGAAGGGATCTGGTATAGATCAGTATAAGAAGTCCCTGACTTATTATTCACCATTGTAAGAACATGGAAACAGCCCAAAGTCCAACCACAAACAAATGGATTGAGAAACTGTGGTACATTCACACAATGAAATACTATGCAGCACACAGGGGGAATAATTTTGTAAATTATTACCTAACTTGGGAGGGACTGGAGAGCATTATGCTGAGTGAACTAACTCAGTCACATAAGGATAAATATTGTATAAAACCATTACTGTAGAATGAGTATAAGGATCCAGGAGGGGTGGGAGAGGCTGGAAGCAGAGGGATGTGGATGTGCAGGGGGAAGGGGGGATTAATCACTGGATTGTACAATTTGATGGGGGGGGGTGAGGGAAATGGAAAGAATTTGTTCAAATTTGTATTTGAACTTTGTAAATAAGCTAGTAGAAAAAAATTTTTAAAAATCTCTGACTTAAGACATATTCAAGTCACAACAAACTGTGCCAATAATTGCCTCCTCCTACCTGGTGCCTTTTTGGTGCATTTTATCATTACTGATAAACACCACATACAATGATGCAGTGCATAGCTGATGTTATCATTCTCAGATGTTCACTTGCGGATGGTTTATGTTATCATGTACTGTTTAAAATACTGCCGCAGGCTCTGGCTTGGTCTACACTGGAGAGGAACAGGATTTTTTGAGGCTGACTAAAGCTACGATCCTGCTGGCTCACTTCCGCTTGCGTAGTCACTGCTAACATAATACTTGGTGACCAGCCTTGGAGGTTGGGGGCCCTGGCCACATGCCCCCTTTGTTCACCAGAGATATAAAGGCCCCTGCCTCTCTCTGTGGGGGACTGGTGACTTGACTCTGGCCCTGTCACCACCCAGGGTGTTGTCTCAGTAAGTAACCCTTTAATAAAATACCAATAATAAAACTCATAGGTGACCCTAACTGAGTTGCCAGCCTCCTCCCTGGGTCTCTTGACACCTGATGGCAAATGCAAGCTACTGGTCTGGCATTTCGCCATAAAGCAACAGTGAGGTCAGCACTGACATCGGTGTGGGAAGTAGTAATAGATAGAAAGCTGGCCAATGTTCAAGAGTGAAGAAATATGCCAATTAACTGGCCGGAGACTGGCAGCCATTACAGCTCTGACTTCATTCTTATCACATCTGCTCCCACAAACAAAGATCCTATTTGTAAAGATACTGGTAATATCAGGCAATGAGACATAAACTGTAAAAAGTGAGGGTGGGACCCAGGCAGATATATGCACACCCATGTTTATCGCAACTTTGTTCGCAATAACAAGGAGTTGGAAACAACCTAAGTCCCATCAATAAAAGGAATGGATAGAGAAGCTGTGGTATATTCACACAATGGAATACTATGCTGCATTGAAAAACAAGGAACTCATTGCAATATTATTCAAAATGGGTGACCCTGGAGGACATTATGCTGAGTGAAGTATCTCCATCACAAAAGGACAAATATTGCATAGTGCCACTGTTGTAAAACAGGACTGACATCAGGGTTGAGGGGAGATTGAGAAAGATGGGATAAATTATGCATACTGCATTGAAACAGATGAGGGAGAGAACTGTTTAAAAGGGATATATGATTAGATATTATAGTCCTGAAAGGAGTCCAGAACGAAGGCTACATAGTGGAGTGGATCTGGGGGGAGGGATTGTATAACAATGAAAGAATTTTACTTTTCAAAGAGAAGAGCGAATTGGGGGGAGGGGTGGGCAGGGAGAAAAGTGCAACAATGAATGAATGGAAATCCAAAGTCTCTGTAAACTTTCATTAAAACTAAAATTAAATAATAATGATAATAATGAAAGAACAAAAAAAAAAAGCGAGGGTGGGGAGAGATTTTTTATTTACATCAGAACGGACTTAAGATCAAGCCGGTGGAATGGAACCCCACCGCGAACTGGGGACCACTTGTATTTCCAACTGCTCACCACGCTTTCACAGAGTCCTGGGCCACACCTGGGCCTCAGGTGAAAGATGCAAACCCCCTGCCAGGTGTGGCTTGTGGCAAGCTTATCTCTTTCCTTCCTTGTGCTCAACTTCACTTCCACCCATGGAGGTGGGTATGAGCTGCTGCTTGCCAGGCAGAGGAGGAAGAGGTGTAGAGCGGAAGGTGACCTGTTCAAACCCCCTAACGAAGCCTGGAGGCGGCACTTACCCCAACTCTGCTTCCCAGCCCTCTGCTCGCTGCAGCCCGG